GGCTTTGAGCAACCTGGTCTAGTGGAAGGTGTCCCTGCTGCTGGCAGGGGGGTTGGGACTGGGTGATCTTTAAGGTCCCTTCCAATCCAAACCATGCCATGATTCTATGATCTTAAGTCAACATGTCACAGCTGAAATGGAAACCACAGGATTTGCCTGTTGCTTCTGGTAGGTACCTGTGGTGTTGGAGGACTGATGAAACTCAGCTGCTTTTTCCTCTCTTCAATCTGCCGGGTGGCTGCCTCCATCATCTGTTTGATCTACGGAAAGAAAACTGGACAGTGAATTTTTCTTCCCTCTATCAGAAGGAGAGGAGGGGTCCTCAGCACCCTTTTCCAGCTGCAAACACATGCAAGCCAACTTAGTAAGAACTGTTATCAACTGATACCAAACTGTTATCTGGAAACTGATTGTTCCAATCAACAACCTCCAGCTGCAGAGGAACCCCACAGCGCAGGCATTCTCTAGCAAGACCATTCCCATTTACTCCAGCTCCACCAAGACCATTCCCATTTACTCCAGCTCATGCAAAGAGAACATCCAAGCTTTTCCCCACAGGAAGGCTTCACATAATTGTCACCCTAATGCAGTGAGCCTTGTGAAGGGGACACAAGCAAACAAAGGACACTCAAAAGCAACTTGCTATTTGCTTGCTCAGCTTCTAATGTGAATTAAAATAAAGAAAACACCAAACCACGTTGGGATTTGAGATCTCAGATGGGCAGCTCTTGTTCTGGGGGCAAAGCTGGTGTAACAGCCTAACTAGACTGACCTGTAGCTTAGTGAGCATCCCAGGGCTCTCCGATGGCGGGCCTGGAATAACCTCAGGCTCATCCTCAACCTCCTCGAACCGCGGTATGCGCCGCTTCTTGACACCTGAAGATTCCTTGGATACCTCAGAGTCATCGCCGAACACATCCTAAGGTAAAAGGAGAGAAGGAGAAAAGGGTGGTTAAAAACCAAATAATTCTTCTCACAGTCAGTGTTTTAAGAGGAGGAATCACCACACAGATCAGATCTGGCACTGTAGGGTCAGCTCTGCCTTGTGATTCAGTTTCCAGGGTGGCACTCGCAGGTTGATCTACTGATAATCCCACGTGAAGCCTGTGCCCTGGTCCCCCACCAGAGAAGCATCAATGATGATCCATGCAAGAGCATGAAAGACAGGAGACATCATAGGGACGTGCCTGTGTACAAGCCACCATCGTTCTCTCAGGTGGTCAAAGGGTTTTTTTGGCACTGAAGAGATTTACAGTCTCACTCAGCTACCTAGAGAGATGGAAAAAAAAACCTGCCCACAAGCTGTCCTGACTGAGCTAAAATAGTTTCCATGTCTTCCACCAATTTCAGAAGGTTTGGTGAAGGAAGCTGCGCTGTCCTACCCTGTCCTCCCCAAAAGGAGGATGCAGCCCCAGACCCGGGGTGGGTCAGGACACCTGCAGCATTCCCTCGTGCTCCAACCCAGCCAACTCCAGCTCAGATCCAAAGACACTGCGCTCAAAATGAGCCGCTCTGGAGAAACACAGCTCGGAGAGCAGGAGGAGCAAGGTCCAGGCTGATGGACTCGTGTGCAGCATGAAGGTCACCAACCAAAAGGCGACGTGAGCTTTACGCAGAGCTCTGTTCAAGCAACTCAAGCTTGTGAGGCTGCCAGCAGGGATTTCATCTCGTCAGTGCCTGGTTTGTGTAGGGTAAACTGGAGCTGTCCATGCGACTGTGTTACTGTCGTGCCTGTGTGTGTGTGACTCTGTGTGTGTGTGTGTGTCTCTCTCCCTCTCTGTGTGTGTCTCTCTCCCTCTCTCTGTGTGTGTGTCTCTCTCCCTCTCTGTGTGTGTGTGTCTCTCTCCCTCTCTGTGTGTGTGTCTCTCTCTCTCTCTCTGTGTGTGTCTCTCTCCCTCTCTGTCTCTCTCTCTCTCTGTGTGTGTCTCTCGCTCTCTCTCTCTGTGTGTCTCTCTCTCTCTGTGTGTGTGTCT